ATATATATATATATATATATATTGTCATTTGTATGAAAGAAGGGATAAATAAGAGGATTAATCCTTTAATTTAGATGAAGTGAAGTGAGGAGGGGCAAGGTATTAGGAATCTTTTTTTTTTTTTTCAAATTTATGGCGCAAAGTATATGCTGGAAAGATTTATAAATAATGGATCTGATTCTCTAGCTTTATAAGAATGTTTGAACTACATAAAGAATGAATTAACGGGTTACTCTACCAGCCTAAAACTCTTGTTGCAATTCAGTAGAAGTCAGTAATTTAAATCTTATTATATGTTTGAGTCTTATTTCTCTTCTATTTGTTTAGATTTTTTCTTTCCCATTTTGAAAATTGTTTGTATAATTATATGTCATATTTAAGGAATGGCACGCTATTTTACCAAAAGTTTTATACAAAATTTTACACAAGAGTAATGTAAGTGAAAGTGTCATTTGCATAACATGACATTTCAACAAATTCTTTGTTATAAAGTGATAGGCTCAAAATTCAACTAAGCCAAAAAAATTTATATTTATATATCACCATTTTATAATATGATATGATACATTAATTTAAAAAAAATAAAAAAATACACAAAAAGTGTACACCTTATCTTGTACCTAGGGTACACCTAATCTAATGGTAAAGGCTTTATCCTCAAGAAGTTTTGGCATGCCAATAAGAGGAAGCAGTCTTTTAAGAAACTCAAAGCATTCATAAGGATGAGCTTTTTTGTAAGGTCCATATTAGGGATGACAATTTGAATCCGTCTTGACGGGAATTCGGTCTCCTGACTCTGATTAAAATAGTTTTTCTCTGAAAAATACCCTCGATGGGTCGGGGACTGTGATACATTCTCTAGTCCCGTCCCATCCCGTCCCGTCCTTATCCCCGTTCCCGTTTCTCCGAACTAAAATTACTATTATACCCCTCTATCCATTCATATATATACCTCTCTGTCACTCTCTCTCTCTCTCTCTCTCTCTCTCTCTCTCTCTCTCTCTTCCTTCTTAACACCGCTCGCTCGTTCCTCCTTCATCGGCGTCTCCTCCCTCATCATCGCCGTCGCTCTTCTCTCTACTCTCTCTCACTCTTTCTCTCTGATATCTCACCGATTTCAGTCCCTCACAATGCTCTGATCACCATTTTTGGCAATGAGAGAGAGCTTCGGGTGAGAAAAATAAGGAAGAGGGAGGGAGAAAGAGAAAAGAGAAGCCATGGACCTCACGGTCCTCGTCTTCTTCACAACGTCACTTCTCTACTAACTCCTTCGTTGATCTCCTCCGCTTCTCTCTTTCTCGACTCTTTCCATCTCTCTCTATTCCCCTCTCTTTCTCTACGTGTTATATACATACATATATATATATATATATATTAGATTTCAGCTCAGATTTGTGAGATCTATGATGATGATGATGATCTGTTGTTGTTTTTTTCTTTGATCTGTTGTTATTTTTTTTGATCTGTTGTTACTTTTTGTTAATATGTTGTTATTTTTTGTTGATCTGTTGTTGATGATGATCTATGATGATGATGGTCTGTTGTTGTTGATCTCTCTCTTTCGCCATATTGACCTTTTTTTTTTTTTTATCTCCCTAACCCCCCAAAGGGCTTAAAAGCGGGTTAAAATTAAAAAAAAAAAAAAAGGTCGAGGATTTTTTGGGGTCGGGAAAACTCGATCCCTGGTAGGGGACGAGAGCGGAAGGGTGATGGGTTCCCTGCTGAGGATTGGAGACGGGGAAGGGAAACTTTGTATCTTCAAGGATCAGGGACGAAAAATGTAATCCCTGGCCCCGTCGTGACCTGTTTGCCATTCCTATTCCATATTACTAAAATTGCGCATAAACAATAAAATAAAGTAAAATAAAATTCTTTGTTACGAGGGTTGTTTACTTCTAATCTCATTGGTATACCCTTGTGTTTAAACATTCCCTCTTTATTTACGTGTCACTGGTTTTTATTTATTTATTTATTTATTTTTTAATACCAATAGACATTTAAAATTATACATATTATGGTCATGCAGTCTCTTTGGTACTAAATTTATAAAATGTAGATGACCTAACATTGATAAAAGTTTCTTTTTGTTTTTTCGTTTAATTTGTTATAAATTAAAAATTAAAATATCAATTTTCTAACCTTTCCATTAATCAATTTCATATATTATTTAAATTATTTTTATCACACCAAATATTCTGAAACAAATTTACAAAATTAAAAAAAAAAATCATATATAGCTCTTTATAACCAAAAGAGTTGTTTGTTTTTTTGTTAAAATAACGCTCAACTAATACATATTAATTTGTGTTTGGAGAGAAAAATTGAATATACACCTAACCTTTAGTATAATGCACAAAGTAATTATCTCGAGATTTGAATCTATAATCTCAATATTATTATAATTGAATCAATGGTCATCCTTAGTTGTTTGTTTTTTGGGTGAATTACACCAACGGTCCCTATAGTTTGAGGTTTATGTCACTTTGATCCATGACTTTTCAATTGTAACACATTTGACCCTGAATTTTGAATCTTGTTCTAAATAAGGACAATTGAAGATACTATTGGATTTTTCAAGGGCAAATTCGTCAACTTGATAAAATATAAATTAATTTGACAAAAAATAAATGTCAAAAAATTATTTTTGATTTTTTTAAAATTATTTCTACCTACTAAAGACAAAATTATATAAAATTGATAAATTTTTTAGACATTTATTTTATTTTTTTTACCAAATTAATTTTTATTATGCATTTGGATGATGATTATGTAAAATTAATTTTTAAAAATTAATCATGTAATTTTTATTAATTTTTATCAATTTTATATAATTTTATCTTTGGTGGATAGAAATAATTTTTAAAAAATTTTAAATATTTTTTGACATTTATTTTTATCAAATTAATTTATATTTTATCAAATTGATGATTTTGTCCTTGAAATTAAGTAATGGTATGTTCAATTATCTTTATTTGAAACAAAATTAAAAATTCAATATCAAATATGTCACAATTAAAAAATCAGAGATTAAAGTGACACGAGTTACAAACTATAGCGGCTATTAGTGTAATCCATCCTTATTTTTTTTGTTCCCCAAATGTTATCGGCCCTGCCCGACCCGTATATAGTATAGACCCAAGCGTAACCCGAAATTTGTTCAGAATACCACATCACATGTGAACTGAGTCGACCTTGTCCAAGCTGAGGCCTTTCACTCCGAACTGTTCAAATCTCTTTACAAAATCGAAGGTACTTCTCTCAATCCCATCTTTCTTACCTTTCAATCTCTCGTTTTCTCACATCTTTGTAATCCATGGCAATACCATCAATTTCTCGTTTTCTCACATCTTCAATTCGCCCCAAACCCCCCAATTTTTCACTCACAACAACCCTTGCATTCACAACCTCTTCCTCATCAGACAATTACTGGACCCATTTGCAGAAAAATGGTTCAAACGTAGAAAAAACCCTAAACAAAGTTAAGGCCAAACTGGACACTACATGTGTTAATGAGGTTATATCTAAGTGTGCCCTTAATCAACCTCTTTTGGGTCTTAGGTTCTTTATTTGGGCTGGTCTTCAACCTAGCTATAGACATAGTTCATATATGTATAGCAAAGCTTGTCAATTGTTTGATATTAATCGAAACCCTCGAATGGTTACTGATGTTCTTGAGACTTATCGGGTTGAGGGGTGTTTGGTTAGTGTTAAGACATTCAAGATTGTTTTGAATTTGTGTAGAAAGGCTAATCTTGCTGATGAGGGTTTGTGGGTTTTGAGGAAGATGAAGGAATTTAATTGTCGCGCGGATACAACGGCTTATAATGTCGTTATCGGGCTGTTTTGTGATAAGGGAGATATGGATGTCGCTGCAGAGTTGATGAGTGAGATGGGTTTGATTAATTTGTATCCTGATATGATTACTTATATTGCAATGATTAAAGGGTTTTGTAATGCCAGTAGGCTGGAGGATGCTTGTGCACTTTTTAAAGTTATGAGGGGTCACGGCTGTTTGCCCAATGCAGTGGCATATTCTGCCCTTCTTGATGGGGTTTGTAGGTTTGGGAGTTTGGAAAAGGCATTGGAGTTGTTGCTAGAGATGGAGAAAGAGGGTGGGGATTGTAGTCCAAATGTTATATCATATACTTCTGTTATTCAAGCATTTTGTGAGAAAAGTCGGACAATGGAAGCATTGCAAATTTTGGATAGAATAGAGGCTAACGGTTGTTCTCCAAATAGGGTGACAATCAGTACTTTGATGAAGGGGCTTTGCACTGAAGGACATGTAGAGGAGGCTTATAAGATGATTGACAAAGTTGTTGCAGGAGGTAGTGTTCCAGAGGGTGAGTGCTATAGTTCTCTTGTGGTGTCTTTGCTAAGAATTAAAAAACTTGAAGAGGCAGAGAAGCTTTTCAGGAGGATGCTAGCTAGTGCATTGAAGCCTGATGGTTTGGCTTCTAGCATTATGATAAAGGGTCTTTGTTTGGAGGGACGGGTGTTGGATGGGTTTCACTTGTACAATGAAATTGAGAAGATGGATTGCTTGTCTTCCATCGATTTGGATATTTATTCTATTCTTTTGGCTGGTCTTTGTAAAGAAAGTCATTTGGTGGAAGCTGCAGAACTTGCTAGATTAATGGTTGAGAAAAAAATCCAACTGAAAGCTCCTTATGTGGACAATATAGTTGAACATCTGAAGATTTCTGGCGAAAAGGAACTTTTTCCCCATCTCACTAGTATATAGAAGTGATTTTGTGCAAAGATTGAATTCAATCTATTTCAGAAGTTCTGCTTTTTAAACATGTGAATGAGATTAGATCAAATGATTTAATAGTGAGAAAACAAGCTTGAGCCGCATTGGCAGTTGAAACATTTCTAACACAGAGGAAACAGGCTTGAGGCTGACTGCTGTCAAATTGCACTTGCTTTTCTCCACAAAGTGCCTTGGTTTCTGTTGTTTCATAGCATGGTTGAACTTCCTTTGGGCTTAATCAATCCAAAAGGCCAAGTTAACTGATTGTTTCTAATTAAGTTTAGTGATGAGGGTGTGTTGTGGGTTACTTATGGTTACTGCGTTGAGGTTGGTAAGTGGTAGACACAACAAAGATCACGTTATTGGAAATTGTGTTTTTCTGTGATAAACCAGCTTGTCACAGCCCATCTGAAAAATCCTTTCCTTTGAAGACTTTATAATTTCAGTGTGGGCATCAAACTAAATTCGAAAGCATTTCTGCAGCCTATTATGCATCATGGATGGTAATTGACTTAATATCACTTCTTTGAGCTCTTGTTGGTTTTGTACATAACTGCCAAAGAAGTTCCTTACTTCAATGGCTGTTTCTACTCTTTATTCAATAAGATCATTGTTCAGCTTTCAGAGAAGCCTTTAATGAGGAACAGTAATTTCCCATCCGAGTGCTTTCAAAAATAAAATGAAAATGAAAAAGAACAAGAGGGAGAGGGCGAGGAAAAAAATCTATGGAACCCACCTTTTCTTTTTTCTTTTTTGTTGTTGTTGTTGTTTTTTTTTTTTTATGGGGGGGTGGGGTGGGTAATGGAGTTGAAAGTGGACTGATAATGTTTGTAGGGCAGAAAGCTCGAAGGCCTAAAAGCAAAGGCAAGATTTTGCTCTCCTTGTTTCTTCTTATGCTATGGGCATAACTCAATGTATTTCCCCGTTTTGTTGTATATTACCAGAGTTTTCAAATATTTGAGGTTTATTTAACTCCACATATAAACTGCTGAAGTTTCCATACATATAAATTTGCAAAGTCTCAAGCCTTTGTGATTTTTTCGAATTAGTTTATTTGTTTCTGAGTCCACAAAGATTGTAAAAATTACCTCAATAAGAAAATTTTTAAAAAATTACTGTAGGCAAAGTTGTCATAAAGTGAAACCAGCCATTGGTAATTACCTGATATCTTCTTGAAGGTTTGACTGGTGTAGAGCACCATTTTTTTTGGAGATGATCACCTATTTAAGCATATTCCATGTAATGTTGGGTTATGAAGGAGTCAATTTCGCCAACATGTTCTCCAATCCAGACATCAAATTTTGTTTTCAGTTTAATCAATTTCTCTTTCAATACTTCGCATATATTACATTTTATATAGGTGAATCACGACAATGTGACAAACTTCTATACTCTGATAAGCATCAGGAACCACCTTGTTTGAAGTGCTGCATTGCAGCATGTGATGGTTAGAACCTCTACAGATGGACTCTAATTGAAAATGGTGAGGCTCTCTCTCTTTGTAATCATGGTGTTTGAATGGAGTTGGAATTTGCTTCTGTGTTTGCTAGTGATATTGCTATTGACTTTGTGTTACCCTTTTTTCTTTTCTTTTCCTTTCTTTAAAGAAAAGCATGATATATTGTTTTATGCACGGGTATTCACTTGTTATTCTGTTGGAAGCAATAGGATTTTGGTAATCTGGCATCATCAGAGTTTATGAAAGCAATTTCAATGGGGGGAAGAGTGGAATGCTGGTTTGATAAAGGGATGCAGAGTTGGAGAAGATAGAGCCCGTGCATCCATTATTGGCAATTAAAGACCTCTCACCAAGACTTGGACATTGCCAAATTAAAGTTCCGAATGACTTCCTTTGATTGCCAAGAAATTGTGGTGGCAGTTGACATCAACAACAGGCGCCACCATCCAATTCCTCAAACATTTTACATGTAATTTTGCTTTTCTTTTATTTTTCTTGACGATCTGATATTAGTCCAGTTGTGAACAACATTCAATAATCTTTTTCTAGGTGATAAATAAATTTCAGGTTTTTCATTTTCTTAGTACTGGTATTGTGAATACAATTGCATATGCTTTGTTAAGTTTTGCTTATCTGAAATAGTAGTTGACTAGCTATCTTTATGCTTTTCCATTCCTTTTAATTGCATTTCTTATGACCATGTCTTGTTTCTGGTAACCTCCTATGATCATCACAATGATAAGATGTGAGTTTTTTAAAATGAACTTGTTTGGTAGGAAAGAAAGTGAAAAGAAGAGAAGGGAAAGAGGAAAAAGAAAATGATATCTTCCCTCGTTTGGTTGAATTGGGAAATAGAGAGAAAGGAAAGGTAAGCATTGGTTAACACAGTTATCTATACCATGCCTCATCAACTAATACTAATATTTTTATATTAGCAAAATTCTTATTAAATTTTTATTTTAAATGTAATAGGTCCACAGCTTAGTTACATAATTTTGTATGCATTTTTTTTCTATCATGATAATCTTGTATATATCTCAAGTACATAAACAGGGCTGGCCCTGTATTATTAGGGAGCAAGGTGAATTTTTTAAATTGGGCTGTTCATATATGATTATCTGAAACAAATAAATGTTTGGTAAGACAAAAAAGATAAAAATTTAGTTCTATTATTTTACAATTTAACAAAATTTAGATAACAAAAAAAATATAAAAATAGATGAACTTCAATTAGTTTAATCGAATCTGTATTTTTTAGCTTACCAATGCTATAAAAGCTAAAATTAATTGGGGATAAGAAATGAGAATGTTAAGGTGGACCATTTTTCCACATGAATTCAAATATGACACGACTTAATAATATGAATTATTAGTTATATATTTTAATGTTCACTAAGGAATCTTATGACATTTTGTTTTTAAAATTTTTTATTTAACTCTAACTAGTTGAATAAAAAAATTTATAAAATAATAATTTAAGGCTAATATCTTCTTCTTTTTTTCATTTAAGATATTTATTTTTGAGACATTTACACATAAGTCCTAATTTATGAACTTATATTCTATTAAGTCTTAATTAAGATTTTTTAGACCTTCAAGTCCCATTAAAATTTTAATAATCAGAATTACCCTTCAAACAATGATAGTTCATCATTTATGATTATGTATAATGGAACATGATAATTTGACATTTATTTTGATTTTCAAAACTTTAAAACATCAACTTTCAAATTGAAAAAATTAAAAAAAATTATGTGCAAAACTGAAAATTTTATGACCATAAAGGAGTATGATGATGGAACATTGATGTGCAAAACAACAAAAATAAATAAATAACTTTAAAAATGAAAAATTGCTTGGTTCCATTTTTCTAAAAACACTTTTCAAAAAATTTTACTTTCTTATTTTCCGTGTTTTTTTTTGTTTTTATTGAATTTTTTAAATTTTTTAAGCAATTTTTTTTTTACTTTTTAGACACACCTAACATAAATACACCTAAAAAGTAAAAAAATTGTAAAAAAAATCTTTTAAAAATTCACTAAATACCAAAAATATAAAAAAAATACAAGAATTCAGTACATTTTTTTTAATATTTTTTATGTATTTATTAATTTTTTAAAATATTTTTTCACAATTTTTTTACTTTTTAGATACATCTAAATAAGGTGCATCTAAAAAAGTAAAAAAAAATGTTTAAAATTTTAAAAATAGTCACTAAAAACAAAAAAATACGAAAATAAAAAAACTCCAGTTTTCAAAAAACTTAATTCAGAAAATTCAAACCAAACACACTAGATAATGTTCTCAGTTTTAAAACTGGAAAAAACTAATAATATTCTCGATTTTATTGGATAATTGAATCAAACTAATAAGTAGAATGGCAAAAACATTTAATCTCATACTCTGTTTTTTATTATCAGTTAGTAAAACAATTATCTAGAATATTACTATGCAAAATTGATAATGTTCTTAGTTTTAAAAATTAGGAAAAAAAAACTGATAATCTTCTTGAGGTTACTAAATAGGACTTATTAGTTCAAAAAATCTTAGATATGACCTCAGCTACTATAACATTTATAAATAAGACTTTTAGGTAATTAACTCTTTATTTTTTGTTACCATTTCAGAGTCAATCTAGTAAAAAAACATATGGTAAAAAGGTATAATTTTTTTAATTAGAAAAATGCAATTGAGTTAAATTCAAATATTTTTATGAATAATTTTATTTACTATAAATAATTTGACAAAATTTAACTTGTGGGGAAAATTTTGATCTTGCCATACACTTACTAAGTTATTTTAAATTAAAAGTGAAAATTTTCACATTAAATATCAATCAAATATGAATCGAAATAATACCATACAATAACATAAAAATAAATAAATTAAATTAATATTAAAATAATTATAAAATAACACGACATAATATACATCCCTAATTAAAAATATTAAATTTTGTTTAAATTTAGAGATCCAAGATGACCGCCTTGGTTGTCATCTCAGGACCGGCCTGATTATACGGCCAAGTTTGAGAAGACTAAATAAGTGCACTTTGACTTTTTATGAAATATGGGTTGGGTTTGGATTGGGTTTAAAGTGATGTGTTAGAGAGGTAATGTGACTTAAATAAGATGATGTGATTTAAATAGGATAGTGACTTTTTGACTTTTTAGATTTTTTAGGAGTTGCCAAACTTAACCTAAATTTAGTTTTATAAATATATTGGAGTGGTGAATTTTTTATTTTATTTTTAATTAATAAAGAAGTGCAAAATCGATAACTATGAATGAACGTAACACTAACCTTGCATCCATTTCACAAGTGTGATTCATAATTTAAAAAAAAAATAAAAATAATAACATTGTTTCTTATATTATTTTCTTTTCATATAAAACAATTTTTGAAAATAAAAATCATAAGCTAAAAAAATTTGAAAAATTATCCTAAAAAAAGTTTTGACAAACAACTGTTATCCTTCTGTCTCTAATCGGATATATCCTCTATAAACTCGCATAACACTATGTTGAGGGGAGAGAGACGCGAATATCGTGTCATCTCATGTTCAGATCGTGTCATATTAAGTTCTTGTGTTGAAAACATAAACACGACCTGTTTTTTATAAATATATTGAAGTAGTGAATTTTTTATTTTGTTTTTAATTAATGAAGAAGTGCAAAACCGATAACTATGAATGAATGTAACACTATCCTTGCATCCATTTCACAAGTGTGATTCATAATTTAAAAAAAAATAAAAATAATAACATGGGTAGTGTTTGATAGAACTTTCTAAATATGATTTGAGAAAATGAGTTGTATTTTGAATTTGTGAATTTTGAAATTATGATTTGAGTGTGAAAAATTTATTTGGTGAAAGAGTTTTGAAAGGAGTTTGAATTGAGTGGAAAATTTTTGATGTGACATGATATTTGATACAAAAACTTACAACTCATAACTAAACACACAACTCAAAATTTTATTAAAACTCATAAAAAATTTTAAAAAATTCAAAAAATATTTTTTGTTGAATATATAAAAATTAACATGTGTCAATTGCAAGCAAAAAATATATATATATATATATATATCTGTTTCACAATTCATGGTGATGGAAATATCAGCTTGAAACAATTCATTCTGAGATTGGAAATATTTATCAGTGAAACAATTGAAACAATTCATGCTGATAAATAAACAAGCGAAACAATTCATGCTGATAAATAAACAAGTGAAACAATTCATCAGCTTGAAACAATTCATTTTGAGATTGGAAATATTTATCAGTGAAACAATTGAAACTGTGGGGATATATTTTTTGAGTACCAACACGTGGCCACGTGTCCTGATCATGACGCCGAGGTGATCTCGGCTAGGCCGAGGTTATCTACGAAGATATCAGAATCCGGAATAAGCGGATAAGGGACAAGAGTCCTAGAATGAGGAAGGACTTCAGCCTGGATAAGGATAAAGCCCTTAAGGAGTTTATCTTTATCTATTGAAGAGTCCAGGATAAGCACTGAGTTAAAGTCTATTGAAGCAAGGCTTCTATTGAGACTAAGATTGAGTTAACTATAAAAGAGAGGCACTCCCATGGGTCTAAGGTATGTTTTTTATATTCTGAATAGTGAGTTAAGCACTTTTGCTATATTTGAGAGATAACTGACTTGATCGTCGGAATGTCCCCGGGTGGACGAACCACCGCCGGAATCTCTTCTTTTTGTGACAGGTCGTTCGGGCTTAATCTATTCTGCCAGTGTTCTCCAGCTGAGTGCTTGATTGACAATGTGGTTGGAAATTGACACACACAATTTGGCGCCGTCTGTGACGGATAGAAGGATAAGGTTGGGGATGAAATGCCTACTGGGAACGGTTAACACGTTGATCCTAATATGGAGGAAGATGGTTGCAACGAGGAGACTCAGAACCAAAATCACAGAAAGAAAGGCGTCGGCCAGGATGACGACGTGCCAAAGAAACCAGATCAAAGTGAGTACTACAACGAGGACGACCTCCAGGTATGGAAGGATAAATGCCTGCAGAGGGATGAAGAAGTGAAAGAGATGGCGAATAAATTGGTAGACCTGCAATCGGTCGCCAATTTTATGATACAAAACAACGTCATGCAGCCATCATTCCCGTTGCAGGACACGCCGATTCCAGCGGCCAATGCCTAGAAGGGAGGGCAGAAAACAATCCCTATAGCCCCCCAGCACACTAGGAGTGAAAGACACTCTCACCGGCCTTTAAGGGAGGTCAGGCGAGGAGAGTCGATGAGGGAAGAGTCTCGAAGGACAGATCACACCAAGGAGGCAGACCCCAAAGAACATCGGCATGTTCAAAGGCAGGCGCTATGCTTTGACACAACTAATGGAGAAAGGTCGAAGAAGGTTTACAACGAAGCCGAAAATAGTGCACCAAAAAGGCTGAAATTAGGAGATAGCCGAGCTCCTGGGCGGACAAAGGAGGACTTGAGAGATTACCTCAAGAGAAAGCAACAAGATGTCGAGGTAACCTTCCCTGTAAAGCCGAAAACACCATTCTCGGTGGAGTTGGACAAATTTGAGGCCCCAAAAAGATTCAGTAT